CATACTTTGGACATATTGTCAGGAGGAGGGAACAGTCGCTGGAGAAGGATGTCATGCTGGGTAAGATGGAGGGTCAGAGAAAAAGAGGAAGACCCCTAACAAGATGGATTGGCCAGGTGGCATCATTGATGGACTCAAGTGTGGCAGTGGTAGCGAGGTTGGTCCAGGATCAGACATTGTTTCGTTCTGCTGTGCATGGGGTCGCTATGAGTTGGTTCCAACTCAATGGCACCTGACAACAACATGCTCTTTTTGAAGGCCCCTCATAGTAGGTAATATACAATGATAATGCTGAATGATTGTTTCTAACCCAGATAGAACTGAAGTGGTCTGTTCCAACAACAGCGGTGTGTCCTGAAGGGTGTTGCTGTCTGTGTGAGGTACACCTCCAGCAGTGTGTCAGTAGAACGGAGGTCCCCGGGTGTCAGCAGTAGGCTGGGGGGCCTGCCTTCTGAGGTGTCTCCGAGTGGACTTGAACCTCAGCTTTTCAGTTTGCAGTGAGCACAGTCACGGTCTGCAACATTCAAGGACACCAGTGATCTCGTAGTCTTCTCATTCGATGGCCTTGTTCTCCCACATTGGCTGGGACCTTGTTGGATAACCAAACAACACCTCACACAATGCCCGATGGTGACGTCACCTCTTCAGACGCATGTGCTGCTAATTAACAATGAAGTCACCTGCTGGGGAGCCAGCCACCTGCAAGCATGACATGAACACAGTGCTGAGGGGTCAGACAGTGAACTTCTGTCTGTTGTCCTCCCAGAGGTGAACTGGGACACTTCGGCCATAACACCTAAAGCCATTCAAGTGTGAAGAATAAAGAGACGTGTACTTAGTTGGTCTCAGACTTACTGGATCTCCACAACATGTGTGCATCTCATGATGCAATTCTGGAGAACAAATCCTAACCCTCTTACCTTTGGCCTGCATGTCGGGGGGGGGGGGGGGGATGGTGTCGGCCCACCACACCGCTCTCTAGGGAACAGAGGAGAGGCAGGTTGTGTGTTCCTTAGGGAGGCTTAACCTATGTGTGTGTGCTTAACCTATGTGTGTGTGTGGTTTTCTTTGACTTTTTATTGTGAATTGGGTTACAGAGTAAATCAGTTTTCCATTCAACAATGCATACACGTTTTATTTCATCTCACTGATCCCCAAAGCTGACCATGTGAGCAAAGTGAGTTCTCATAAATGGGGTTTATAACCAGCTCATATTCCCCGGGTCTCAAACCTATCTGCGGTGGCCAGTTCCCAAGGAAAGCCCTACCTTTCTTAGCTGTCTGTGGACTATCCATCGCTCATCACACGGATACACCAGATCTCGGGATTTGTCAATGTGAAAATATGGACATCCCCTGGCCCTGCCCCTCCCGTTGCCCTGCAGGGTAGCTAGCTGGGTGGGCCAGGCCAGGCCAGGCAGGTGAACTCTAAGAAGCTACCCTGCCTCCGTCTGTCTGCACAGGCGCACTTCAGGTTAAATAAGGCAAGTTTGCACCGTAGATGTACCATCGCAAGTTCTCTCTTGGGGAGGCTGCTCTGAGGCCAGTTGCGGAGCAGGAAGACCCCTGGTGGTACCTGTGCAGCATTCACAGTGGGGTCACTGGCATCCCCACCTATTGTGAGCCAAGTTAGTAATCCCAGTGAGAAGTAGCGGACACTACAAACTGGGAAACTCAAGGGGTATCTATGTTAAGGTTAATTTTTAGACAGTATACTTCAGTTTCTCCTGTAACACTTCAAGGAGCTCTTTAAAATTTGCCTTTTAGACAAACATCAGAAAGAAACCTTTGAGAATCTACAAAAATGAATAATCTAGCTAAGAGATTTCTTTGTCAGAGCATAGAAATGAGCGCTGGGTTATAGCTCACCGGTAACCTCTGCAGGCATATATAGCTTGAGTGCTTGGCTCCTGTCTAGCTAGGCCAGACGTCGTCGTTTTAGGGAGGAAATAATTATTAGCTACTTCTAGTGCTATAACTCTAGAAACCGGAAGCAAAATCATCATTGATGGAAAACTCAAGGAATTTGAAACTTGAAATGAGCAATTCTATTCAGTTATTTTTAACATGTTTTCCCCAAAGTAACACCAAAAGAGCAGACTGAGTCATTTCCATAGTGACCCTGTACGGGGTGGGGGTGGGAGTTCTTCCAAGGTTATCAACTTCTATAGGCCCAGGAAGCCTCATCTTTCTCCCGTGAAGCGGTTGGTGGGTTTGAACCGCCAGACTTAGAGTCCACAGCACGGCCAGGGCGCCTTTACCATAAAATCATTAAGTGTTGTCGAGATATTTTGGACTCTTGTGATGAGTAGTCTAGTGCTGACCTACAGAGTCACACTTAAAGTAGGCATTGCTTTTTCATACATGGCATTTCTCTGACCTCTGTCCTCCCGGGCACACGGAGCACACCCCTCTCCAGTGATGCGTTTGCTCAGCAGACTTTGGGACTGGGTTTGACCACCTGTATCTTCTCTGCAGGGTCCCAGGGGTCCCCATAACCAACCCTTTGCATCTCACCTTAATGTCGTCATGTGTAAAATGTTTTCTGGACATGCCCAAGGCAATGGGCCTGGAAGTCAGGATCAGCATGTGGTGGTGGTTTCTCCGCAGGCCTCAGCACATCTTATATCTCCACCCCCATTCCAATTCCAGGCCTTTCTGCGCAGACGCCTCAGCCATCCCCGTCCAGCGGGAAGAGCCCCCTGAACTTGAACTCTGCGTTTCAGGTGGCTCTGAGCCCAGGTGAGGGGGACTCATCCCCCCTCCTGAGTCCTGTCCTCAGTGACATGGGCGGAGCCAGGATAGACGACAATGAAGAGGAGGAGGAGGAAATAGCACACAAGGTGGGCACTCAGTGGGCTGGGATGCCCGGGCCTGTCCAATCCTGCCTGGACAGACGCTGGGCAGGGGCAGGGGAAGAGCTTCACTGTATCAGCTACCATCGTTCACTGCCTGCCAACTACTCAGGGAACTAGGGCATGGGCGGATTGCCTAGCTACCCCTGGTCTCTACAGGACCCTCGTACTGATGGGGTCCCAAGTGCTGGGGCCTTGCTGTACCAGCCTACCCCCACCTCTTCCCTTACCTCCCATCAGAGGACCAAGGGCTGGGAAGGTAGGGTACTGAAGATAGGGTAGGAGAATTCTAGGGGCCAGTGGGAATCCTTGGTCCTCCTTGGTTACAAGGACGAAGAAACCAGTGCCCATGTGGCCTATAGTGGACTCTGAGCAGAACCCTTCAAAGTTTGGAGTTAACAATCTGCAGCCTGGGTCTCCAAGACCCGGTAATCCGGGCAGTGCCCGAGGGGTGCGGTTTGTCAGGACAGGGGTCTAGGGCATTTGAAAAGAGAATAGTCAAACTAACAAACAGATGTGCACTGGCCTCGGGGCGGGGGGACACGGTGGAGATGGGCATCCTGTCCCAGAGGACCAGCCCATGCGGTAGGATGCCTGGATTGGCAGAGTAGGAGCATTCTGCCCAAGGCCATGGACGCGCGGGGTTCTGCGTAGGGGGGATGGAGCCCCTATTGGGGGCAGGTCTCCCTGTGACCCTCCTCAGTGACCTGCCCCATCGGGAGGCCAGGCACAGCTCTGTGCAGCGGCCTGCGGGGTGGGGTCCTGGGCTCTCATCCTAGGAATGACCTGGACACTGAGCCAGCCCCTCTCACATCCAGCCCTGGTGGGTGTGGGCTGGCCAGGAAAGGCCACACATCCACACATAACCCCCGGGACACTCTGGCTGACTGTTGGTTTTGTAAAACTTAAAGTCGTTTGTGGAGATCACTGACCTGTGGCCGTGACAAGACATGGCTGCAAGGACGTTGCCTTCAAGATCTAAGCTGTAAATGACCTCAGCCCTGGTCCCCTGGGTTCCTCACAGCTGGTCAGGGCTCAATGTCGCTGTGGCCATGAAGCTCTACGGCCCACTCCACAGTGGAATGCCACCTTGTGTTCGTCCATACATGCACTCTACGGCTACCTCTGTGGGGGCAAAGCCATGGCCAGTAGGCCAGAGTCTGGGGGCAGAGAGCCCAAGACTCCTGGACAGCTGGCTGCCCCCGAGTCCTTTTCCCAGGCCCAGGGGGTTGTGTGGTGGCTGGCTGCCTTGAAGCAAGAGGCTTCTGAGGAGCACCTGCCCCTTTGCTGGCCACATGTGGCCTGTCCTCCTTGGGCTTGGCTGAGAACCCCTGTGGCCACCGTGTCCGTTAACACATTTTCCTTCTTAATAGAGACTCGTGAGAACAGGCAACGTCCGAAAGGTACAAGCTCAGTGGTGGTGGTCTCTCCTCTGGGCTGCTTCGGGGCTCAGCTGAGGGTCGTTTGCAGCAGTATCCTGTCCCACTTGAGGGCTGCTTTGCACTGAGTCCAGATCTCCTGGGTCCTGCACAGGCCCTATGGGACCCTATGGGGCTATGCAGTGTTCCGCTCCTGCTCTTCTCTGATGGCTTTGCCTACACACACGGACGGGGGCGCGCCAAGCATGAGTTGGGGGCAGTGCTTCTGGACACACAGTCCCCGCCCCCGCAGACCCGCATGCTTGTCCTCATCATGAGTGAGGAGTATGGGGTTCCTGAGCCAAGCACCAGGACAAAGACCACAGGAGCCCTCTGACCCAGACCTAGGGTCTTTGCAAAGAGGGTTTTCTGACCATGGATTGAAAGTCTCTTAGCCTGAAGGCCAGAGAGACAAGCCATCAGGACTGGCTCAGGGCCCATCTGGGGTGTTTCAGGGAGCGCTGGCTGGACCCTGCTGTGCGTGTGAACTGCAGGGTGGGGGGTGCCCTAGGAGCAGAAGGGGTGCACGTGACGGTCAGGGTCCCCGCCTGGTTTGGGCTATAAGCTGGGTTTCATCAGCCCCTGAAGTCCTTTGGGTTTGAGGAGAGGACACTGGCCTGGGCACAGAGGTCAAGGATCCCAAGGCTCTAACCAGTGTCTAGACATAAGGGCATGGGAGAGATGGCCCTTGGCACCTGGCAGAGGAAGTGTGAGGCCCACCCTCACTGGGGACACACGTAGTGCACATCCTGGACCCTTTGGGACCCAAGTCCAACAAGCCCCACACTTCCTACAGCAGGACTCTCAACACAGCTGACTGTCTGGCCAGACTCGAGAACCTTGGATCACTACGGGTGGACACCACGTGGCACCCTGGGACAACCTGTGACTGACTGACCCAGATGCTGGGACATGCCCAGAAGTGACCCCACAGCCATGCTCCCTTCTGACCAGTGTCTCTTGCTTTCAGCGCGCACCCACGGATGGAACGTACTTTATAGCAAAGGAGATCCTCGCGACAGAGCGGACCTTCCTAAAGGACCTGGAAGTCCTCACTGTGGTACGCAGCCAAGTCCTCGTCTCCCTGGGCCTCCCAGCGTCTCTCGAACCCAAAGCAAAGGAGGGCGTGGCTGACTCAGGCCAGCAGGACGGGGCGGGCAGTGGGCAGCCCAGATCCCGGGAGGGTGCAGGTCAGGACTGACTCGTCCCCTGCTGTCCCTGCAGTGGTTCCGCAGTGCGGTGGTGAAAGAGGACGCCATGCCTGAAAACCTGCGAGTACTGCTCTTCTCCAGCATAGACCCCATCTACGAGTTCCACCGCGGCTTCCTACGGGAGCTGGAGCAGAGACTGGCCCTCTGGTAACACCAATCCCCACCCAGAGCCTGGACCCCACACAGACAACCCCGTCCTGAACCCCGCCACCCGGGCACACACAACCCGCCCCCATCCCCACCCTGATCTAGCTGTCAGCCCTCAGCCCGGACCCTGTCTGGAAGCCATTGTCACCTTGAAGCTGGACTGGCCATCCGTGAGAGGGCCCCGGACACTTTCTGTTGCAGGGCAGATTCACATGGCCCCAGCCACTACCCTGCCCTAGGCCCCTCAGCAGCCGGCCGTTGGACTGACCCTCCCTGTCTCTTGTTCCCCAGGGAGAACCCCTCAGGTGTTCACACGTCCAACAGTCACCTCAGGATCGGGGACGTCCTGCTCAGGAACATGCAGCTGCTCCAGGTATCCTGTCCACGCCCCCACCTTGTCAGTGTCATGGGAGTGGAGCAGCATTGTGACCTGACCCCCGCCAGCCCCCAGCCCAGCCCACTGTCTGTGCTCAGGGCCCACACGTCCCACACAGCCTCCTGCCCCATCTGGTCCCCAGATTCCCGCCCAGCCCAGAAGCGCTGGGTTTGGGTTAAACTGTGTGCAGCTCTGCCAGCTTACATGAGCTGGCCACACAGGCACCCCTCCTGCCCAGACACACGGGACAGGACAGGCAGACTCCCTGGCTCCACTCAACCCGGGGTCTGGGCACTGGGGTCTGGGGGTCTGATCTTCACAGGGCTGGAGGAGGATCCTGGCCTCTGCATCTCCATCACTCAATGGGCGAGGGGCCCTCAGTTTCCTCACTTCATGGAGAAGCCTCCGACCCTACACACGGGACGGGGCTGTGAGCCTCTGGACTCTTGGAGCCCCCAGCTGGGAGCTGGTCCAGGGTGCCATGTGCCCTCCCGATGCCCCTCTCCCCCCCACACACTGACCAGAGCCCCCTGTATCTATACAGGGACTCACCAGCTATTTCCAGAGGCTCGAGGAGGTGCTAACTCAGATGGACACCGCCACCACGCACTCCAAGAAGCTGGACGCTGTGTCCAGAGACTTTGAGCTCCAGAAAGTCTGCTATCTGCCGCTAGGTTCCTTCCTGCTCAAACCCATACAGCGGCTGGGCCACTACCATCTGCTGCTGGTCCGACTGTGTGGGCAGCTCCCGCCCGGGCACCCTGATCTCCCCGACTGCCGCAGTGAGTGGGCCTAGAGGCCTCCTCTCCAGACCCTCACACGTGGGACCAAGGGGGTTGTCGTATTTGATTTTGTAAAAGGGACCATTGGCACCCACAGGGATTTCATGGGCTGATTCTGGGAAGTGGATCACCAGGTCTTGCTTGCTAATCTCTCTAAGTCTTAGGCAGGTGTTAGGGAGTGTAAACATATTGCAGTCTGTCCCTAGAGAGATCTGTACGTGTACGCTGACGGTTGTCTTTAAGACCCAGGTGAGCATGCCCAGCCGTAAGGACTCACGGGAAGTGCCCAGACTGTCTGGCAGCAGATCTCGGACCGCGCTTGCAGGCAGTTACGGGAGCAGTCGCCCTACTGGGGAAACAGGGCAGGGCCAAGACAAGGGTCCAGAGTCCGAGGGCAGGGTCCAGCTGTCTCTGCCAGGCTCAGCCAGCATGTCACCATAGGTCAGTCACTGGGCCTCGGGGCAGCGGAGCTGACAGCATTGTTCCCACAGATTAGTTCATTCCAGAGCTCTGGGAAGCCCAATGGACAAAGCCAGTCCTCACTGACACCGGCCAGCACCCATCCCCCACCCTCAGCCTATGGATGTCCCTGCCTTGTCACGCCCGTGATATGGCTCAGAGAAGTCTCTAGAAGGGCAAACAGCAAAGTCTCGGCTGCTAACTGAAAGGCTCGATGTTTGCACCTTGGAAGACAGGCTTGGCCACTCAGACCCTCAAGAGGAGCCCTAGTCTGCTCACCTCCATGAACCTGCAGAGATTTGGGTTTGGGTCAGAGAGGAGGTCTTGTGTCTTCACTTTGGTGAGGGGCCTGAACAGTCCAGTGACGCGTCTGAACATGGGTCAGCTCCCACAGCATCCACCCTGGCTCTGTGGACACGTGGCAGCGGAGATGGGCCGAGGTCCCAGAGGAAGAGGCTGGAGGCCAGACTGGGGGTCAGCAAGAGGTCCACAGGGGGCCCCTCAGTGCACTGCACTCTGCACTGTGGACAAGGTGGTCAGCTCCACTTAGAGGACACAGCTGGGCAGCATGACTATCGGCACGGGGTCAGCCCATAGCTCCCAGGTCAAGCAGGCATTTCATCTCTATGGACTGGTTGTTAGGTCATGTCCTGGGCAGCAGCCTGAAGACAGAGGATGGTGGTCAGGCCAGTGGACAGGATTGATAGGACATGCCCAGGACAGCAGCCCGTGGACAGGGTTGGTAGGTCATGCCTTGGGCAGTGGCCCGTGGACAGGGTCGGTATGTCATGCCAGTGGACACGGTTGGTAGGTCATGCCAGTGGACACGGTTGGTAGGTCATGCCCTAGGCAGTGGCCCGTAGACAGGGTTGGTAGGTCATGCCAGTGGACATGGTTGGTAGGTCATACCCTGGGCAGGGACCCGTGGACAGGGTTGGTAGGTCATGCCCGGGGCAGCAGCCTGTAGACAGAGTTGGTAGCACATGCCTCTGAACACCTACCCCTTCCCCCTCGGCGCCCCCACAGACGCACTGACAGTCACCACTGAGGTGACCACCGCGCTCCAGCAGAGCCTCGTGCGTCTGGAGAACCTGCAGAAGCTGCGGGAGCTGCAGAGAGGCCTGGTCGGCGTCGAGGGCCTGGTGGTGCCCGGCAGGGTGAGTTTGGAGCACCGGCAGCCATCACCACTGTGTGACTACATAGCCTCCTCATCACCCTAAACACAAGTCCCCTCAGCCCAGCCCAGGTGACCCCGGCATACAGTGTGTGGAGGTCCCAGGTGACCCCGGCGTACACTGTGTGGAGGTCCCCGGTGACCCCGGAGTACACTGCATGGAGGTCCCAGGTGACCCCGGCATACAGTGTGTGGAGGTCCCAGGTGACCCCAGGGTACACTGTGTGGAGGTCCCCGGTGACCCCGGAGTACACTGCATGGAGGTCCCAGGTGACCCCGGCGTACATTGTGTGGAGGTCCCAGGTGACCCCGGCGTACACTGTGTGGAGGTCCCTGTTCTGGACATTTCATGTGAGTGACCATCTCTTGGCTGGTGTCGCTCACAGAACGTTTTCAAGGCTCACCTATGTCGTCGGGTGCGTATCAGTACCTCCCCTTTATGGCCGAGTTTGATGCTGTGGGATCAGTACTGGACTGAGAACTATTAGGTCAGCGGTTCAAAGTCACCAGGCACTCCTTGGAAATCCAATACAGGGTCATTATGAGTCAGAACCGACTCGCCGGCACTCAACACCATATATATCTGATATGTATATGGCCCATTTTGAATCTCTCCTTGCTTCATTCCTGTGTGGAGGAGACAGGGTTATCCCAGCACCATTGTTGAAGAGCCCGTTCTTTTCCCACCGGCTGGACGACTGACCATAGGTTTGGGGTTTGTTTCTGGACTCTGGTTACTTTTTGTCACCGGTGCCTCTTGGCTGAACTGAACATTGTGCCCACAAGGACAGTGTGTGGAGGCCACCGGAGGTGTGTGCCACCTCTCCACAAGCACATGTGTGTAGATGATGTTTGAACATTTGCTAGCCCTGTCAGGATGTGGGACCTCCAGATTGGAGGAGTGGGTTTGACTACAATATCAGAATGGCTTCCCACTCCTGCAGTTCTGTCTGCGACTGGGCGCTGGGTGAGCCCATCTCCACCCTGTCACCCTCCAGCTTCTCCTGGCTGCCGCCTTGTGGCCTGGTGTGCAGTGGGTGGGTGCCCTGCAGGTACCGGGCCAGGGTCTCTTGTCGCCTTAAGTTGCATGTGTGTCAGCCAGGAAAGGACCAGGCCGGGTACTTCAGCCAGACCTACCCTTCAGCGAGGGTGCTAGGGGATGACTTGGGGGATGGGCAGGGCCAGGGGGCAGGAGGGCACTGGCGAGGGGCTCATCTGGGCTGTCTTTCAGGAGTTTCTCCGGGAGGGCTGCCTGTGTGAGCTCACCAAGAAAGGGCTACAGCCGAGAATGTTCTTCCTGGTGGGTCCCTGCCCTAACAGTGGGGGGGCTACACAAGGCTCCAGGACCCTGTCTGGGATGTCCCCGGGCTCCCATTAGGGGCTGGCAGCGTCCAAGTACCACGTGGGGGTGGAGAGGGAAGGAGGGACTGAACTCTAAACCCTCCTCACCCAGAGCCCCGTCCCCCTCCAGTTCTCAGATGTGCTGATGTTCACCAGCAGAGGTGTGTCGGCGACCAGCCGCTTCCGGATCCGGGCTCTGCTGCCCCTACGCGGCATGCTGGTGAGTGGCCACCCTCCAAGCTGACCCGTGACCGCTGACCTCGGCCCTGCCCACACACACAGCTTTCCAGCCTTCCTGCCTCATGTGTGGGATCACAGCCCCACTAAGGTGGCCGGGCTGCTGGCCTCGGGGCCTCCAGCGGGCAGTGCTTGCAAACCATCGTCTTCAGGGAGAAAGGGAAGCCTCAAGGTTACAGCTCTCACCATGTCCACTGTAAACGTTTTCGCTTCAGAATCTTGGCTGTTAGTGGTACCCAGAGCAGGTCAGTTTTCCATTGAACAGTCCACACGCATTGTGGGTCACGTCATTGATCCCAGTCCCCAGAATGTGACATCACTTCTCCCGTGTCCTCCCTGTGTCCCCACTCCCGTTCCTCCTCCCTGACCCTTCTGAACTCTGTCCTCGGAAACGCTGCCCTTTGGAGCTCAGGTGGCCCCTGATTCTAAGAGGCCCATTCAGACCTGAACTGAGCTACGGGATCAGGCCATGGTCGCCGGGCTCCCACCCTCTCTGCTGGACCACTAAGCCTGGTCTTCATGTGATTTCGAGTTCTGTTCCGTGTGAACAGCTTTGAGAGGAAGGCCCACCAGATTCGGTGTCCCCAGAGGAGGGCCTTACGAGCTGGAGGCCTGTCGGCGTCCCCTCAGCCCGGAGCGGTTTCCCAGCTCAGGAGACCCTGTGTGTTGGCTGCTGTACCACCTCCACCCACTGAGTCCAGGCCAGCTGCAGCTGACCTGGGAAATGAGGACTGTAGAGTGGAAGGGAGTTCTCAGCATAGGCGTGGTCATCCCAGGGGAGTGGGGCCCTGACCGGGAGCCTATGTCGGGGTCCCACAAGGGTCTGGTGCCGCTGAGCGCACGCCTCTCTGGCCTGGACCTGCTGGAATGGGCTGAGTCGCATCGCAGGGACCCTTCCTCCCTGGCCTGCTCTCCGCCTGGTGTCCAGTCTGGCCTCACTGAGCCCCCTGGGTTCTGTGACTTCATGAGGCTGCTTGCACAACCTTCCTGCGGGCTTGGAGTCCTGGGGTGGCGCTGTGGGCTAATGCGTCAGACTACAAGTCGTTTGAATGCAAAGTTGGTGGCTCAAGCTCACCAGCTGCTCCTCGGAAACCCTATACAGGGTCGCTATGGGTCAGAACCGACTCAACAACACGTACCAGACACCACCACTTGTTTCCTCACCTTGTCTTCCCATACAACCCTTTGGTCTTGCTGCACCATGGTGGTCCACCTGTTCCCCTGCAGGTTAGCACTGTGAGGCAACAGTGAGCTGGCTGGAGGCACACCTTCCCCACGCTGCTTCTCAGCAGCCTCTCCTATGGTACCTAGGCGGGTGCCACCCTGTCCACGTGCCCAGAGCTCTGTGGCCTTCAGGGTCATGGCGGTCCCCAGTCCCATCTGAGGACAAAGGCATCACCTGCTTGACCAGGATTAGAACAATCGTGTCATTACAGTGGTAACCCCCACCTGTGGACACATCTGGGCAGAGGTGCTTCGTTTCCCAGGCCCCCGGGCACATCCTGTGAGCACCGTGGGGGCAAGTGAGCTTGACCCCCTGGTGTAGGACCCTCACCAACACTGACTCTGTCCCCACTCACCTAGCTGCTGTCACTGCTGATGTCCTGACTGGGTCGGACGGCCTCATTCAGAATGCCCTACTTAGCTTTGGGGTTGTTGGAACTGAGGCTGCCTCACAGACACACCTGAGCTGGGGGTGCTGGAACACTCTTGCTCGCTGTCTACGAGGAGCTACGCTCGGCTCTTCAGTACCAGCCTCGGTCGGGATCTCCCACAGTCAGCTTTCTGCTGGGACAAGTCCCCTATTTGCACGTTAGGGTTGACTCGGGAGTATCTAACCATAATGATGTCTGTAAAAGTTCTTGGACACTCGTTTGGGGAGGTTTGGGACCAGGTTTATAGGACAAGTTCACACACTCGGTGAGAGTAGCCATTCTCAGTCCTCTTGTGTTTGAGTCAATAGTGCTGGGGGCTCTGGCCTCAGCTCGTCCACGTCCCCCCCGTAGTGTCCCCACACCATGACCCAGTGTCTGCTGTCTCCCACAGGTGAAGGAGACTGAAACCCAGCGTGCCACCCCACACTGCTTCACCATCTGCGCAGCTGCAGCCCACAGGACCATCGTCGTGGCAGCCAGGTAAGCCTTCCTGGGGGGAGGGTCATGGATCCTTGGATCTTGGGTGCTACTTCAAAGTGTTAAGACCAAAGGAGCCATCTCTGGTCAGGAGTGAGCTGGCCGGGATACTGTCCTCACACTCTGGGCTCAGGCCTTGAGCCATGGGGCTGTCTCCCTGGGGTGTCCTGAGCAGGCTAACCCCATCCCATGCAGCACCGGCCTTGAGATGGACAAGTGGCTGGGAGACCTCAGCAGCGCCATCGAGGTGGCCAACAAAGGTGGCTTCACCCCCCCACTCCCAGGTGAGTGACTCTGAGGGGCTTTGGGGACAAGGGATAGAGGGTGGTCCCATTCATGGTGACGCAGACTCCCCCAGGACCTTCCGAGGAGGCCGCCTCAGAGGAGTCTGATGATGGCCCGCTGGAAGAGCTGGACCAGCATCGCGCCAACACCACGCTGCACGTGTGCTGGTACCGAAACACGAGCGTGTCGAGAGCCGACCTCAGTGCCGCTGCCAAGGTACACAGGGACTGGACTTTCAACGTGGACAGTGAGTCTGAGTCCAGCCTCGTTTCGTTTACTCGAGCTTTGTAACCTCCTGTCAGGTGGTTAGAGCCTGGGGGTGCAGTGAACAGTTAGGTGTTAGGCTGCTAACAAGCCGATGGTTCAAACCCACCAGCCGCTCCTTGAGAGAGCTATGGTGGTCTGCCTCCTAAAGACGGACAGTCGCAGACAGTGTGTGGGCCAGCTCTCCTGTGTCCCGTGGGGCGATGAGTGGGTTTGGCCTTGTCCAGTGGTTATGCAGCACTCAGCTGCCCAACAGAGGCTGGGCTGCAGCCCTCAGTCTTGGGGCACAAAGTGAAGTTTACTGCTTCTGTCTCTTGGGCAGAACCAGCTGTCAGGGTACCTGCTCCGAAAGTTCAAGAACAGTAGTGGCTGGCAGAGGCTTTGGGTGGTCTTCACCAGTTTCTGCTTGTTCTTCTACAAGACGCATCAGGTATGGGCAGCATGGGAGGAGGGACCTGGGGGGAAGGGCCACCTGCACCCGGGCCCACCAGAACCCTGTGCCTGCTGTCCCGCAGGACGACTACCCCCTGGCCAGCCTCCCCCTGCTGGGTTACAGTGTGAGTGTCCCGGGGGCGGCCGACGGAATCCACAAGGACCACGTCTTCAAGCTGCAGTTCAAGTCACACGTGTACTTCTTCCGTGCCGACAGCAAGTACACGTTTGAGAGGTAAGTACCCCACCTGGGCCCCACCGAGGCAAGTCCATCGGGCCCTGGGAGGAGTGGCACACAGTTCCAGGGCCGTCCACCATGTGCCCAATGGTTCTAGGGGTGGGCTGCTGCTTGGGTGAACATCCTGACAGCCCTGCCCCCTCCAGGTGGATGGAGGTGATCTCGGGGGCCAGCAGCACACCAGGACAAGCCCCCCAGGGGTCCAGTCCTGTACACGGTCACCAGGAGTGAAGGCAGAGGACAGGGCGTGGAGAAGGCCAGCGTGCATGTCTCCAGAGGCCCCTGCAGTGTCCCACCTGCAGCAGTGAGCCCTCAGCAGTGCAGCTGTTTGGCGTGGGACACCCAGGGTGTCAGTGACTGGACACAGCCCAGTGAGCACAGGCAGGAGGCCGTGATGGACCCAGCAGCCCAGCCTGGCCAGCTCCGTGTAGGGACAGCACCCGTGGCTGTAAGAAGTGACGCACAAGCTAACACGGCGCTTCTAATAAAGTGTTTCCCTCGGCCCTGCGTGGTGCCTTCTGTTCAGAGCACACACCCCACCCACCCCAGCGAGTGCCATGCGAATGCGGGGGTGGGGGTGGGGGAGGGGGTCCCATGCCACCAGCTCCAGGTCACATCTTTATTGAAACCGCAGGAGTGTGTGGCGGCAGCAGCCTGGGAAATCCATGAGGAAGAGTTTGGTTTCTTAAAAAACAACACACTGGGTGGGGTGGGGGGGCTGTAGAGACGGGGGTCCCCTGCAGGCGGGGAGGCTGGGCACGCCACACGGGGGTTCTGTCCTCCGCCACACCACCTGTGGCAGGACGATGGGGGCTGTCCTGGGGCTCTGCCCTCAGTCCCAGTAGCAAGGCCAGGGCAGGAGAGGAGTGTCCAGGAGGGGGCAGGCCGCCCCCCCACCCCCGTCACACCCTCGACGCCCCCCACTCCACATAGGTCCTGCGTGCTCGAGACCGTGACGAGGCGCTGCAGCATGGTTCCCACAAACAGCCAGCGCGGCCTCAGCGGGCAGGCGTCACGTGGTTTCTGTTGTGTGAGAACCTACAGGGAGGGGCTGGTCAGAGGGGCGGGGTCCTATAGGGTCACAAGCCCACTCTTGTCCTGTGGCATCCAGGGTCAGAGGGCAGCTGCCCACACAGCCCTGCTGGCCTGGCCTGGCCTCCTCCCCCACTGGGCTGTGTGAAACCCCCAGATGCCCCCTGCCCTGCTCCGGCCCTACAAGTTCAGCTGTGAATCGAGTAAATGGGTCAGGAAGGGGCAGCCAGCACACAGGCCAGTACCCTCACCTCTGGACCCGCTCCACCAGATGGGCCACCAGCCTGTCCGAGATGCCGGGGCAGGACTCCTCGGCCAGGCTGAAGGCATTCTCCAGCTCCTCCAGGGCCCCCGCGCGCCCGCTGCTTTGCCGGTGCTTCTCCTTCAGCTGTGGGGGCAAGTGCCACCGACCACCTTCATTGACTGCCCACTACTGCCCACCACTCAGACAGAAACCTGGACTAGAACCAGTGGCAGAGGATTCTACACGGGCTGATCTGGGACCACCAGCTCCCATATGAAGTCCCAGCCTCCCCTATACCCCTACATCGAAGTCATGACTATCAATCTGGGGGTGTCCACACTCACAACACACACCCCAGAAGCACCAGTGTGCGGCAAGCACCCCAGTCAGACCTGAGGGCCCACAGCCCCCGCTGACCCCAGCGTCTGGAAGGTGTGGTGAGTTCTCCCTGCTTGTGGGGTCCAACACGTTCCCGACCTTCAACCTAGCACCAGCTGGTAGGCTCCGGACCCCCAGGCTGGGGCCCAGGCCGGATGAAGGGCAGGTGGACGGCTCACTGTCTTCAGTGCAGGGGCAGCCCAGCGTCCCTGGTGGCCCTCCCCCCCAACACCCACAACCCACTGGGCCTGTCCTGCACACACCTGCCTCCCCCGGGGCCTCACAGCACAGTGGCCTCAGGGCAGCAAGGCCCAGACATGGCCACTGGTGTCAACGTGCAGGCAGAAAGAGTCCAGGGTCCCACACTGTCCTCACCTCTCCAAAGACGGGCCGGACCAGCGTGGACAGGCTCTGGGACCTTGGCTGACGCTGCACTTGCTCCACCGACTGAGGACACAATGTGAGAGGGTCCCAGCCCTGTGCTCCAGGACAGCGGTCTAGCTCTGAGAACCGCAGCTGCCAGGGTCCACCTCCCCGCAGGCTGGTCCCAGAGGGGCCAGAAGACAGGAGGGAAGGCCCATCCCTCACCTGTCCACACCCACCCTGCTGGCAGGACACGCACCTTCTGAGATCCATGCAGGACGGACCCTTTGTGCAGCTTGCTGTGGGGGCTCGGACGGATTGTGGGGGGGAACGTCCAGATGGGGCCCTGCTCCCCATCCTCTGCGTCACCATCACTGAGGGGGACAAGGAGTCAGGAAGCCCCGCTGGGCAGTGGGTGGCCAGGCCAGCCACCCCGCCGCCCAGTACACACATATCCGAGTCCTCGGAGCTGGACTCCTCGCCGTGGCCCTCAGCCTTCCAGTGCTTATAGCGGTCCAGGAGCTCGGTGAGGAAAGACGTCTTCTTGGTGTAGCGGGCAATGAACTTGTGTTTCAGGAGCTCCTTGGCAGTGGGCCTCTGTGGGGGACGGGCCATCACTGTCCGTGGGGCCTCAGGCCTGTCACCCGCCCCCACTAACCCCTGAAGGGAGCAGAAGGGGCATCCTCGGAGGGGCGGGGCTTACAAATCGGGGGTCCTTGTTGAGGCAGGCCTCTACAAACTCCTTGAAAGGCTTGCTGTGGTGACCTTCCAGCGTGGGTGGGTTGTTCTTGGGGATCAGGAACAGGACGCGCATGGGGTGCAAGTCGGAGTTTGGGGGCTCCCCCTTGGCCAGTTCGATGGCAGTGATCCCCAGAGACCAAATGTCAGCCTGGACACAGAGTCACAAGGGAACGCACTGTCAGCTCTCCCTCAGGCAGCGAGGGGCAGCCCCTCACCATGCCCGCCACCCCCCACGCTCACCTTAAAGTCATAGGCTGATTGTTTGATGACCTCAGGCGCCATCCAGAAGGGGGTACCCACAAACGTGTTCCTCTTGATCTGGGTGTCGGTGAGCTGCCCCGCCACCCCAAAGTCCGCCAGCTTCACATCCCCCTGCTCCGACAGGAGCACGTTGGCGGCTGTACAATAAAGTAGGCCAGGGGCCGCCTCAGCCGGGTCCCCCAGACCCCAGCGCTCAGCTGGGACATCACTAAGAACCGTGACTCCCTGTACCCAAAGTCCCAGGGTGACGCCTGGGTTGTCCCTCCCACCCACCACAGGACCTCCCAAATGTACCCCCTAGCTCCGATAAGAGACCACCGTGGGATGGTTTAAGCCTCTTGCTTTCCCTGGCTGCTGCCCACATAGGATACCACAGAGTTCCCAAGGACACAGTCCCGGGAGACCTTTGATGTCACGGTGGATCTTGCGCTCCGAGTGCAGGTAGTCCAAACCCTTCAGGATCTCCCGCAGGATGGTGGCGATGTAGGTCTCCTCCAGGGGGCCCGGCTTGAGCTGTGGGGGAGACGTGACACAGGACCTCCCCTCCCCCGTCGGCGGGGCCCAGGGTCCAGGGTCCAGGCTGCCGGCCTCACCAGGTCCAGCGCTGAGCCGCCACCCAGGTACTCCATGATGATCCACAGCTTGGTGCTCTGCAGCAGGAGGGGGGACCCATGAGTGCGGGGCTCAGGCCAAGGCCCCTCCCCAACCCGGGCGTGTTGCGGCCGCAGCAGCCGGCACCTTCAAGTAGGAGCCAAAGTAGCGGGTGATGTAGGGGCTATCACACTGGCTGAGCACAGTGATCTCCTGCTGGATGTCCTCGAGCTCGTCCTCAGCCTCCTCCAGGTCAATGACCTTGATGGCCACCACCTCCTTGGAGCGGTTGTCAATGCCCTTGTACACCTCCCCAAAGGAGCCCTTCCCGATGCGTTCCAGCTTGGTGAAGAGCTCCTCAGGGTCCACACGAGGGTGCTGCGTGGAGGGCACGATGGTCAGCCCTCAGGAAAGTGGCCCCACAGCCAGCGCAACACAGCCCCGAAAAGCCTGATACAGAGTGCTGGGCACTGCCCACCCCTCACCATGGCGGACCAGGGTGGCGAGCGGGGTGCTGCAGGAAAGCAGGTTCTGTGCGCTGGCTCACAGTGTCACCCTTGTGCAGAGGTCCCCCCAAATCCGCTCAAGCACGAGCACATCGGCTGCGTGCCCCATGGCTCTGGGAACACCCTGGGCACACACTCAGAACGGTCCCTGGGTCCGACCCCCCACCCCATTGACCCCTTCACCAGCAACCTTAGCATGGGGGGGATGAGATGACTACTCGTTTTCACACCCAGACTGCAAATGATACCTCCTCAGGGAATCCCCTTAAACCACCACCCACAGGTCCACCTGCACCCCACAAAGTCAGAATGATGCAGAAATCTGGTTCTTGCCTCCCCCACGTCGTCACCCCAAGGACACTTATCTACCTCGCCTACTGTGGCCCCACCAGCTCGCTGGAATCTCCCACTCATTCCTTATCAGGCCTTTAGTCAGCCTCGGAGTCAAAGGTGACTCCCATCTCCAACGCCAGTTCCTGCTGCTCACACTGGTCCAGGACGCCCAGGCCTGGCATCCAGGCTCCAGGCAGGTCCTGTGGAGTCCGCAGCCGGACTCGGACACTTCCAGATGGTCCCGCCAGCCCCTGCTCTGCACAGTGGTGAAGACCAGCAACCCCATGGGCTCACTGTCCAAGTGGCTGGTCATATACACGGGCGATGACCCTCTCCAGGTGGTTCAAGGGGAACTGTCAGAACCACTTAATCAAAGGAGAAACACCCCTGTCCCTCTCGAGTAGCCTTAGGGTCCTCCCCATACAAAGCTGCTGTGAGCTAACCCCCTAGCCCCAACATACCCGGCCATGTGACCAAGGCTGGCCCAGCCTCCACCTGTACCTTCCCCTGGAGGCTGAGGTCCAGCTGCCTAGCCTGCCCCCAGATAAAGTGTCCCTCCCACTGCTCTCTGAACTGCTCTATCTGAAGGGGCCGCTGTGTCTGCATACACAGGCCTAAGGCACACACCTCCACTTCTGGGTACCTCCCAAAGCCCTACACCAGACCCACTGCCACCCACAAAACTGGGCCTGGGGGGCAGCGCCGTGCACGCTCACACTCATGCACGCTCGGCTGGAGGCGCACACCCGCGCACACTAATTCACACGCACCTGTCTGGGGTGCACACACACCGCGCCCGCACATCGCATACACCTGTGCACCACGCAACTCACATACCGCGCACACGCACACACCACGCAACTCACATACCGCGCACACGCACACAGACCGCACACTCACACCAGCGCGCACACGCAACGTCCACACTCACCTGGTTGGCAAATCCCCGGAGGTGAGCCATGTCCGCCAGCGGTCGTCTCACCATCCGTCCGCCCGCCCGCGGCGGCTCCGGGGTCCGCCTCGGTTCGCGGCCGCCGCCGCCTCAGGCCACTGCGGGGACACAGGCCGCTCACGCCGTTCGGCCTGCGCCCCCGCCCGGCCGCCCCCGCCCCGGGCCCCAGCCCCAACCGCCCCGGCGCGGCCCGACCCGGCCCGGCAGTGGCCCACCTCCGGGGGGCTCCATCCCGGCCTCCCCCGGCCCGCTCCGCAGTGCCCGCGGAGGCCCCACCCACAGCCTCCGGTCACGAGAACCAGCAAACAGCCCGCAAAGCAGCGGCAGTGGCGGCGCCGGAGAAAGCCCGGCCGAGACGATAGCAGCAGCGGCGGAGACGGCAACAGTGGCGTCGGCGTCGTGGACCGGCGCGACGCTCTCTGGGAAACCGAGTCTCACCGCTCGGGCAGCGCCCTGGTGTTGCGCGAGCTGGACTACTCGTCCCGGAAGGCCGCGGGGCTGGTGGGCGTGGCGCGCAGATCCGCCAAAGGGATCGCTGGGACTTGAAGTCCGTCGCCCTGAGAGGCACTGGACTGCATATCCCGGTCGGCCGCGGGGCAGGCGAGGGGTATCAAGGCTGCGGGGCGTGGCCTAGGCCGGCTGAACGCGCGACGTAGGCCTGTGACCGGGTGCTCAGCCGCCTGCCCTGGAGGCGCCCGAGACCCACCGCGTTCCACCGTCGCCCTGGCCGGCCGTACCCCAACACCCTGGTCCTCTTCGTCCGCGCCTGGACCTGCAACTCGCACACGGGACCCTCCTTAGTCCACGCCTGGACACCCCATCCTCACTCGTCTGCTCCAGGGGAACCCTTTCCTTCCCCGCGTCCACACTTGTCCCGGCTTCTGCCCAGTCCTCCGCACTGGGAGACACACACACACCGCTCACACCGGGACCACCTTGGCTGTATGGGCCCCTCCCTGGACTGGCCTCGGCTCTGGGACACCGTCTCCCCACCGGGCCGCCCAGCGTGGCCAGTTCCTTGGAAGAGGTGCTCCCCCTGCTGCCTTAGTTGGTGTCGATTTCAGGGTACTGGTGGAGCCCTGGTGTGGCGCCAAAAGACGAGCACTAGACGCTTGAACTGCAAGGTGGCGATTTGGTCTCCTTGGAGGCTCCTTGGTCACATGGTTGTGGCACCCACCTCGTGCTCCCCAGCTATCACTGTCCAATTAGCCCCCCAGCAGGGCAGGGTCCAGCATACCCACCTGACAAAGCCTCAGCTCTGCAGGACACTGGAAGGCATCCCACCCTTACATAAACGTCCTCTCTGGCCACTGGACATTCCAGTCTAGTTTAGGTAAAAAAGACATCCAATTTAGAAACGAAGAAGTAAATCTATCCAGTTTGCGGATCTTGTGCATGGAAAATCCAAAGGAATCCGAACACACAAAAAACATTAGAATAAATGAAGCCAGCAAGCTTGTAGGATGTAAGATCAACATACCAAAATCAACTGTAGTTTCATACACTAGCAGAAAGTCCTGGTGTAGCGCTGTAGGCTATGGACTGCTTCAACACAAGATCGGTGGTTCAAAACTCACCAGCTACTTCTTGGAAACCGTAGACCAGGAGGCTAGAATTCGGAACTGACACTTAATAACAACAAATAAGCAATTTAATAATGAAATGAAAACAATTCTATTTGCTATCACATCAAAAAGAATAAAATGTAACCAAAGGTCAGCAGGAGGAGATAAAGTATATGATGTGCTGGCGGCCGCAGCATACGTAATCAGCACTGAGAAGTTGAGGCACAAGGATAACATGGACGAAAATCCAGTCTTTGAGCCCTCCTCAGGCTTACGGGCCATGGACCCCGAGGGCCAGGGAAGTAACTCCCTGAAGTCCCGGGTTCATAGGCTTTGGTGAAATCACTGTTTGGCCACCTCTGTGCAATTTTCTTTAATTATACTTTTGTGCATTCTGTACTTGTTCTTTATGCTCTTAACTCTGATAATTGTAGCTTCTGGGAAAGTGATTGTTTTCAGTAATAATACGCACAATGTTCTGATCAATGGCTCTCATGTAAATGTCACTGCCCCAGTAACAAGAGTTGTGCATGAGACTATGAGAAATAAAAGTACAGAAAACAGGATGTAGCAACGCAGAGAATATGTAACAATTGTTTTCTAACCAATTATTCAGTTAAACAAATACGTGAGCTGTTAATGTCCGTGTACAATAATCACACTGAAACTAGTAGTTACCCCCCGGAAACACCCCTGTGTATGTGTGTTATTCTCTTGATGTTTGTCATGGGAATCTTACTGTATGTGTTAATTTTATGTACCCCCAAACCACCTCTGGGCATAACTATTGCAATCATAATACTTTTTTTGGGAATCCTATTATATGTGGTAGTTTTATGCACTACATATAATCCCCCGCTGCTTGATGATTAAATAATTAGAATATGAAGGAATAAACTGTAAATTGTCACCTTAGATATTTGAATTAGCTAGTAAAACTCCCGCATATGTTTCACGAGAAAAGCTGTTTGGGCTGATCATATGAATTAGAACAATGGTGACTGCTCCTCCAAACTGCTCTTGGGTTTGATCAATGTAATGTAATTACTCCTCTTCCCCCCGAGGGTATATTGGAAATATAATAGTAATGAACATTGTTATATCTAGATATGTTGTTGTTGTTGTTAAGTGCCATCGAGTCGGTTTCGACCCATAGCGACCCTGTACAGGGTTTCTGGGGGTGTAAATCTTTACGGGAGTAGAAAGCCTGATCTTTCTCCCGCAGAGCAGCTGGTAGTTTCGAACCTCTGACCTTAAGGTTCACAGCCCGATTCGTAACCACTACGCTACCAGAGCTCCTATATCTAGATATAGGAACTGGAATAGGATTAAAAGAATGTAAAAGTAAGACCGCACCTTCTTAGAAAAGTCAAAACCTGTTTTTCACCTTCCCTATAATTGTAGAAGCAAGGAGAAAAGAGTCCTTAGTTTAACAATGGAAGTTAGGTATCTGAAATCTTGTTCACTAACAGAAGCATGTATTTTCTGCCTGCAAAAGACACAGAAGCAGTTTTTCTTTAGAAAATATAACTTAGTCTTTGGTAAAAACTCTAAAACCTCTCACCTTTACCCATTTGTGATTAAGTTTTGAAAATATGTTAAACACCTTCTAAGAAACCACAAGTTGCTGCCCCAGGTTACACAGACCTAGAAGTTAATGTATAACCTGTAATTGCTTGCTTGAACCTTTCTCATAGAAATAAGGATTTTAGCTTATTAAGACAAATCATGATGTCCTCAGAAGTTAAACATAATTTTGTGAATCATTGTGTCTTGTATCACATGAATGATCTCGTATCCTGTCCTAAGTGAATAATCAACATTTTTGTCATTATTTCTTTTGTGTCAATTTCCTTCTTCTGATAATAAAAGACTAGGGCTCTGCTAGCTTAGTGTGCTAGCTTGCCTGTCGGCTTGCATCAATCTTTGTCTCTGTCTCTTTTCTTTCGCCTACTAGACATCTCACTCCCGTTAAACCCCGTGTTTGCCGAGGTGATCCTTTGTTGAGGAGGGACCCCGACTCAGGACCCCCGGCAATGATGAAGTGTGCATAGACCCAAGTCAGAAAACCTAAAGGGAAGAACACACACAGGGTTTATTAAGCTGAAAGAACTGCAGAAAAAATTCAAACCTCACGTTACAGTATTAGAGTCCTGGTGTGATATTATACAATAAGCACTGGACTGCTAATTGCAAAGTCAGCGGTTTAAACCAACCAGCCACTCTTCAGAAACGCTATACAGGGTGGCTATGCGTCAGACCAGCTCAAAGGTACTTAACAACACCAACAATGGGGAAAATATTGAATGATGTAGGAAGCATCCAAAGAAGAAGGAAGGGCAGTCGAGCCAGCGTTCACCCCGCATTTCACTGCTGCGGTCACGGCCGCGGGTCAACACTAGCCACCCGCAGCTCACCGTGGATGATGATAGTGTCCACAACGGCTCCTCGTGGTAATGCTGCTCCCTGGGCACCCCCCACCCCCGGCATCAGGGCGTGATGGTGGACATGGGTCAGAAGGACTCCTGTGGGGGGGATGAGGCCCAAAGCAAGAGAGGCATCCTGACCCTCAAGTAGCCCATTGAAGATGGCATCGTTACCAGCTGGGACGATATGGAGATGATCTGTCACCACCGACCAAGGGCCCCCTGAACCCTGGTGAGAAGATGACCTGGGGCACACGTTTGGGGCCTTCAACACCCCTGCCACCATCCAGGCTGGGCTGTTCCTGGACGCCTCTGGCCACACCACTGACGTCATGATGGATTCCCACGATAGGGTCACCCACACTGTGCCCATCCTGCATCTGTACTTGGCTGGCAGGGACCTGACAGATGACCTCATGAAAATCTCACAAAGGGCTCACAGCTTCACCACCACAGCTGAGTGGGAAATCCTGCATGGCACTAAGGTGAAGCTCTGCTACTCTCCCTGGACTTGGAGGAGGAGATGGCCACGGGAGCCTCCAGCTCTTCCCTGGAAGACAGGTCATCTCTGGGAGGGGAACCCTGCGGCCTCCATGAAACCACCTATGATTCCATCATGAAGTGTGACGTCACATCTGCAAGGCCCTCCACGCCGACACCGGGCTGTCAGGTGGGGTCCAACACGGTGAACATGAAGGAGCGCACATAACCTGTGTGGATCGCCGGCTCCGTCCTGGCCTCGCTATCCACTTTCCAGCAGATGTGAGTCAGCAAACAAGAGTGTGCCAAGTCCAGCCCTGCCGTCGGGCACCACAAATGCTTCTGGGCAAACTGTCCTTGGTTACACCACACCCTTTTCTTGACAAAAACCTAACTTGCACAGAAAAAAAGAGATAACATTGGCGTGGCTTTGTTTTGTTTTTGATTTTGATTTTTAGGGGAGGGTTGTTTTGGTTTTGGGCGTGGCCAGGGCCATAATTAATTAAGGAATTAAAATAAATAAAATGAGACATATTAATCGAGGAATTAAATAAATGAGACATGGGGAAACCTGTGCATGAAGAATTCATTGTCTTTGCAAAGCAA